TTTTAAAATTATTTTTTAGCAAGTTAATTCATGATAAATATTATTATAAACAGCAACTGGAATTGATAATCATGAAACCAAGGAAAATTTGTATCCAGGCACATAAAACTCTAAAGCCACGCATCAATTAGAAATAAGATAAGCAAAATTGAACCTTTCAATGTAGCAAAGTTCTTTCAGATTTGAAAAATGGCAAAACACCAAAGCAAAGGTACAGCAAATGCTCCGTTTCACTTAAAAGTGCGATAGTGAGCTTCGATTGCAAATCATCCGAAGTTGAACCGTGACCGGAGTTCGAACAAAACTCGTCGACGAACTCGGGCTCGAATGTGTTTTAACAGTGATGAAGACGAACTATTTTTGTAGCTGAAAATTGATGGAAAATCAGCTGGGTTTGATGTCCATTTTCGGACTATTTTTGAACTTAAATTGGCAGCGGTTGAGCTGCTGTTCTGTTGCTTGTTTGGGGTAAGTTTCAGCTTATTGTTGCTGAGTTTGGGGCTGGATTTTGAGATAAGTTAAGGCTGGAGTTGAGCAGAGTTTTTTGGCTACTAATTTGGATGATTTTGGGGCTGTTTTGATAGTGAAAATGGCATGAGGGAGGAGCTGGATATTGGGCCTTTCATGGCTGCATTTTTACTGAGTTTGTAGCAAAGTTTACATGGGTTTTTTCATCCAGCTTATGGCAGAGAAGAGAAATGAAATTAAAGAAGAGGAGGATCCTTCTTCCTTGCTTTGTGCGGCTGAGCTCTTTTAAAAAATTAGGTTAGGCTTTGAGTATAATGTGTATTTTATATGGGAGGGAAAATGAATCTCAGCCTTTAGATTGAAAGAATTTTTAACAACTCAGATTTCATCTTTATTTCTAAAAGGGCTAATGGGTCAAGCTATTTGGGCTCAGGTTTGGCCTAATTTGGACCATGACTTAAACATTTGAATTAAGCAAGACTCTAGGAAAACTTGTCCAAATTACAACTTCTTTTTTGTTGTGATTTTAATTTTTCTTTAATTGAGTAATAGATAAAAAAAAAAAAAATACTACTCCAAAACTTGAATAGCAAGATAAAATACTAATCACTCAAAATTTACTTATCAAACTAATATATCTTTTGGAAAATATTTTCTTTATTTTTAAATGAAGATAAAGTTTATGTTAAAAATGTGACACTTTTTTATTGTTTTTAATTTTCTTTAAGTAAAATATATAAAAGGAGAAATAAGAGCTAAAATATGTAGATTAAACTTAAAATATATTTACATACTAAAAGGTGATGAAAAACTCAAATATAGTAAAAATTTAGGTGCTCACAGCTGCCCCTCTTTTGCTCAGAAACATGAAAAATTTTCGGACAAAAATAAAGTGAGTCATGTGACTCATTTTTGGCTAAATCTTTATTTAAAAAGAAAAAATAACAAAGGAAATGGTGCAACCGAGTCCTGGTTTTGGCCAGCCTACATATCACGGGTCATAAGGGAATTGTTGCTCCCAAACGCACACGCAAGTATACGTGGTCGACAAGTAATATAATGATAAGTTGAGTGTCGAACCCACAGAGATTTGTGTAAACTACTCACTAAATCACTAAAATTGTTATTCAATCCAGCTAAAATCAAAGTCCAATAATATGATTATATTATACTACAATTCTAAATAATAACTAAGTTATCAAGTAACGAGTTGATTGTTGTGTATTCAGTAGAGACAAATATTCCAGAGTTGTGATCGATTCACCAATCGTATTGTGTTCTAATTAACTCTCCCTTTCATATAATTCACTCATGGTTGCTAATTAATCGATAAATGCTCTCATAGCCTTCTCCCGAAGTACTACTCACCTATTCTCAATAGATTAACGCCTATATTCCTATGAAATCAATCTATTAAGAACGCATTAAGATCATGATATTTAATTAAGCACGGTGACTAGGTAAATTCCTATCCTAACCACAAATTTGTTCTCCCTAAGGGTTAAGATCATGCTCTCTTCAATTCTTCTCTAATCTAAACACGGCTTTCCCAAGCATAGCATAGATAGTAAATAGAACCTAACGGTTGGCCAGACAATTAAGCAATTAAACGCAGAATTGAAGAAACAACCATATATTGGTGAATTATAATTAAGGTCAAGCAAATATAAAACAACAATATTCATGGCTAAATCACAACCCCAGAACAATGGGTGTTTAGCCATTCATAATGTAATCAAACAATTGCACAAGTTTTGAATCAGTTGGAAATACTAGAACAAGATGAAGAAAACTGAGATGTTCTTGCTCCTCAATGTTTCTTGCGTGTATTTTTGCTCCAAAGTGCGTCTCCCCCCTCAAAAATAGGTTTAGTCTTGCTTTTATATCAGTTGGGTAGGTCTAGGGCCGAAATAAACTTATCCCGGGCAAAATAGGACATGATTCGCGTCACCGACGCCCAGCCCGGTGCCAGGTGCCCTCCATAGCGCCCCAATTTTTGAGCCTACTGTTTTCAGCGCCACAGGTGGCGCCAGGCGCTGCCTGTGGCGCCCAACTGCTTCCTTTCCCGATTTTGTTCGTTTTAGCTTCAAATCTTTCACATTTTGCCCCAAATTGCTCCCGAATCATTCCTACAAGTAAAAACACTTCAAATCAATATAATTCATAGCATTTAACATCCCAAATTCACGAAACAAGAGTAAGATATGAGGCGATATACATAAAAATATATATACTTTAAGCTAAACATCAACACCCCACACTTAGGCTCTTGCTCGTCCTCGAGCAATAGGACTATCTAATAAACCCCCAACTACGTTCAAGTATCAATTATAGAGGAGCACTTTAACCTTTAACTACACATTATACCCTTGACTATGATCAATACCGGCACACAAGGATGACCACACAAAATTTTACATTCTTCCCGTTTAAGCAAGCCCAAGTATAATATTTCAATTCAATAATTTCCAATAACCTATTTGTCACCACCCAACCTCAAAAGCCGACTTGCAACCACTAAGCACCCTCAACTCATGCACTTACCCAACAAGAAAGTTTACAACATTACCAATCATTCATGAGATCATGTGCCCTCACCAACAAACCGAAAGTGAATATAAATTGGTCCACACATTCAAATATGCTTTTGAACATAATTTAAGGACATCACACAATTGAACAAAATTCGCTCACTCTCACAAAGAATTCATATGCATCCCGTGGTCGTTCCATAAGCTTGCCCGTAGTGTATATTTNCTCACCAACAAACCGAAAGTGAATATAAATTGGTCCACACATTCAAATATGCTTTTGAACATAATTTAAGGACATCACACAATTGAATAAAATTCTCTCACTCTCACAAAGAATTCATATGCATCCCGTGGTCATTCCATAAGCTTGCCTGTAGTGTATATTTCCACTAATTTAAGCTAGCCAAATCTAGGATCAATTAGAACTTTTAGGTTGTAATGTAGGCTAAGGGACGGGTAGGATATATTTAGAAATAGTAACTCACCCTCCTAAGCACTTTAATACACTAGATTTACACTTCAAGCACATATTCTTCTCAGCTAAATCACTTGCCATATACAACATAGCCCTCTTTTCACTTAAGTACTTCTCTATGTTGTCACTAGCACAAATCAATAAGAATTGGAGGTGTGTATTTTTCTACATTATTTGAACTATCATATTTTCTTTTTTCTCTTTTCTTGCAATTTTTCTTTCCCTTTCTCTCTCTTTTTTTTTCTTCACACACTCCATACATTAAAGTTCATCGGCTAGTGACTTTTGATTTCAACTTTAGTGCACCAACGAGCCCTTCCATGTTTCCACTCGAAAGCTACTCCCCAATATCTCACCTTGCTTCCTTTAGCGACTAAGTGCCTTAGGAGGTAAAGGTTCAATCAATATCAAATTAAGAACAAAATAGGGATATGGCTTGTATGTGGGTGCCAAAAGAAAGGTCTATAGGCTCAAAGGGGCTAGCAACAGAAAATTTTACTTTTATGTGACAAGCACATCTATGATCAAGCAAGAAATGCCTACGTCATCTCCTAGATTAGAAAAACTCACAATTTCGCTTCAATTAACACACGGGGCAAGCTAGACTACACAGGATAGCACAGAAAATCACGAATCCTCACACACACGTTGCACATGACTCAATCAAGACGGTTCTGTTCAACTCTCAAGTCAAGCAATCACAAATAAATGAGAAATTTAAGCAACATTGCACTATGCGGCATACAAGTCAGACAACTGAGAAAAGGCGTCACAAAGCAGGCTATTTACTTTACTTGGGCTTTACAATTCAAACCAAATACACGGGAAAATAGAATGTATGTCATAGACTAATGTGCCAACATCAACTATGCCAGTGAGTATCTCAAAATGACTCAGTTCCTTCCTAAACTACTCCTACAAAGAAATTAAAAGTGCCCAGTTCGAGCTACATCCTTAGAAAAGAACCGGTGCCCAAAGAAAAACCAAGGAATACCACCTAGCTATTCTAAGAAAATAAAATGACACATAAAAAAAATTTGGTGTTTTTAAATCGGACTTTAATCCCTCAAGAAAATTGTCCAAAAGATCCATCGTCAGGAACAGTCCGAGCTTTTTCAACTTTTTTTTTGAACCTAGACTATGTCTACTACGAGTTATAAAAGAAAGACAATTATACACCAGAAAGTAGTTTTCCCACCCCACACTTATATTATGCATAGTCCTCGATGCATGATCATAGAGAAATATTAAAATAAGGGTGAGAAATACTCCCTGAGACCCTCTCAGATCTAACTCGGACATGATCCTCAATATTAAGGGCTGGGATGACCCCACACTTAAGATCAAACATGCTCCTCAACTTCAACTTTGGGTACTTAGACTTCCCCTACTCTGCAAAAATAAAAAACACAACAACACAAAACACGGTAAAAAGAAATAATCAATAGATAAAAGATACACAGGTTGGGTTGCCTCCCAACAAGCGCCTTATTTATAGTCGTGGCACGACTCTGCTACTCTGCTCAAGTTGGGCGCTTTCTCTTCTTCTTTCTCCCATGAATTCTAGCCTTTTTGCGCGCTCTCAGAAGGTCTCCTCTTTCATCTCTGGTTCTTTTCTCAATCATCTTTGCACGCTCAGCTGGAAACACGACCTCCTTTAACTCAGTTGTCCCATCTGGATCACTATAATTCACATAAGGACTCTGCTTTATCCCCTTCGATTCTACCACAGTAATCATGCACAAGTCCTCATAGTGCTTAGGAATCTTAAGTGCCTTGTACACATTAAAAGTGACCTCCACATCGTCAACTCTCATTTTTAACTTCCCTGCTCTCACATCAATAATTGCTCCACCAGTAGCTAAGAATGGTCGCCCCAAAATAATGGGCACTTCCTCATCTGCCTCGTAATCAAGAACAATAAAATCAGCAGGAAGAATAAACTTTCCCACTCGAACTAACACCTCCTCAATAATTCCTTCGGGCATGACTAGTGACATATTTGCTAGCTGTAAAGTGATTGTAGTAGGTCTAAGCGCCCCCAATCCGAGTTGCTTGAACAAAGAGGATGGCATCAAATTTATACTGGCCCCTAAATCACACAAGGCTCTACCAACTTCTTGTTTTCCAAGAGACAAAGGAATTGTGAAACTCCCAGGATCCTTCAACTTAGGAGGAAGTTTACTCTGAACTCTGGCACTACACTCTTCAGTAAGTGCAACTGTTTCAAACTCTGCATGTCTTTGTTTGTTTGCCACAATATCTCTGAGATACCTTGCATACATAGGCACTTCCTGCAAAATTTCCACCAAAGGCAGATTCACGCTCATTTGGCTCAAAATATCTAGGAATGTCTTGTACTTGGCATCATCTTTTTGCTTCTGCAGTCTTCGTGGAAACGGAGGCGGTGGCCTAGTCTCAGTTACTGGCTTGGGTCCTTTATCATCTTTCTCATTCCCCTCAACTGTCTTGGGAGCTAATTCTCCTTCAGGGTGATCTATATTCTTCTTTTTCTTTGGAACTTCTTCTAGTGCTCTTCCATTTCTCAAGGTAACCGCATTGACTTGAGCTTTAGGATTGGGCTCAGTATCACTTGGAAGAGCTCCAGCTGGTCTAGTGTTTTGAGCACTGGCAAGTTGTCCCATTTGATGCTCCAAATTTCTCACTGTTGTGGCGAGGGCTTGCTGTTCAGCCATCACTTTTTTCAACATATCTTCAAGGTGACTTGTATGACTCGCTTGTTGTTCAACCTGAGGTGGTCTATATTGTTGTTGAGGTGCTTGAGGCCTGTATTGATTCTGAGTGCCCTGGTTTCCACCCCAAGAGAAGTTTGGGTGGTTCCTCTAGTTGGGATTGTAAGTATCTCCATACTGATTTGTTTGGCCTTGATTTGCATTACCCACAAAATATACAGACTTTGGATTTGCTGGGCATAGATTGCTCATGTGACCCTCTCCACATACTTCACAAAATATTTGAACTTGTTGCACTGGTTGGGCTTGCTGCTTGTTGATACTCAAGTTCATCTAGTTGACTTGATTGGTCAGTGTAGAAATCTGCGCTGATAATGCTGAGACGACATCTAACTCAAGAACCCCTGCAAACTTTGCACTGTGTGTCTGCCCATCTCTCCTTTCCAATCCGGATTGCTCTTGGAGAATTTGTTCAATAATGCATATATCCCGTCAAAGCTTTTCTCTAACACTTGAACCCCAGCTGCAGCATCTACCACGATCTTTGTTCCAGCATGTAGCCCTTCTATGAAAGTGTGAGCTAACACTTCATTTGTCTGATTGTGATGAGGACAGTCTCTGAGTAGCCCCTTGAACCTTTCCCAAGCTGAGTATAAAGATTCTCCCACTTTCTGTTTGAAGGCCACTATCTCACTTCTGATCTTTGCAGTTTTGCCTGAAGGAAAGAACCTTGCCAGAAATTTTCTTGCCAAATCACTCCATGATGTGATGGAGTTAGCTGGTTCTGCCTTTAGCCATCGCTTAGCCTCGCCCAATAGAGAGAATGGAAAAAGTGTGAGCCTCACGTAATCTAGAGTGACCCCGTTAGTGATATAAGTATCACCAATCTCCAAGAAGTTCAGAATATGCTATTGTGGATCCTCGTGTGGAAGACCCATAAATTGCCCGTTTGCATGAAGTAACTGGATCATGCTCTGTTTCAGCTCAAAGTGCCCAGTGATCCTGGGCTTTACTATACTAGAGGTGACATTAGCAATGCTGGGCATCGCCACCTCCTGAACAACCATGGGTTGCTCCTCTGCCATGTCCACAGGAAATTGAACAAGTGCCTGAATATTATTCGTGTCCCTTGCTTCCCTCAACCTCCTGTGAAATGTTCTCTCAGGTTCAGGATCAAAGCCTTGAAGTCGGTCCTGGCTTCTGACCCTACGCATTCAATCAAAGTTCCTGAGATCTGAGCAACAATCAAGTAATGTTAGACTAGACTAAATAAACAATTAAAGCAAAAACTAGCAAGTACTTAATATTCAAGTCCCTGTCAACGGCGCCAAAAACTTGTTGCTCCCAAACGCACACGCAAGTAAAAACTTGTTGCTCCCAAACTCACAGCTGCCCCTCTTTTGCTCGGAAACATGAAGAATTTTCGGACAAAAATAAAGTGAGCCATGTGACTCATTTTTGGCTAAATCTTTATTTAAAAAGAAAAAATAACAAAGGAAATGGTGCAACCAAGTCCTGGTTTTGGCCAGCCTACATATCACGGGTCATAAGGGAATTGTTGCTCCCAAACGCACACTCAAGTATACGTAGTCGACAAGTAATATAATGATAAGTTGAGTGTCGAACCCACAGAGATTTGTTTAAACTACTCACTAAATCACTAAAATTGTTATTCAATCCAGCTAAAATCAAAGTCCAAATATGATTATATTATACTACAATTCTAAATAATAACTAAGTTATCAAGTAACGAGTTGATTGTTGTATATTCAGTAGAGACAAATATTCCAGAGTTGTGATCGATTCACCAATCATATTGTGTTCTAATTAACTCTCCCTTTTATATAATTCACTCATGGTTGCTAATTAATCGATAAATGCTCTCATAGCCTTATCCCGAAGTACTACTCACCTATTCTCAATAGATTAACGCCTATATTCCTATGAAATCAATCTATTAAGAACGCATTAAGATCACGATATTTAATTAAGCACGGTGAATAGGTATATTCCTATGCTAACCACAAATCCGCTCCCCCTAAGGGTTAAGATCATGCTCTCTTCAATTCTTCTCTAATCTAAACACGGCTTTCCCAAGCATAGCATAGATAGTAAATAGAACCTAACTGCTGGCCAGATAATTAAGCAATTAAACGCAGAATTGAAGAAACAGCCATATATTGGTGAATTATAATCAAAGTCAAGCTAATATAAAACAACACTATTCATGGCTAAATCACAACCCCAGAACAATGGGTGTTTAGCCACTCATGATGTAATCAAACAATTGCA